CCTCAACAATAAACTGCTTAGAAGAGTCTGGATGGGTTAGAATGGGTGTGGATGTGAATAATCGCTTTAACTTAGCGAAGGCTGCGTGGGCCTCAGGGAACAGGCGAAAGGCACTTTGGGTGAGGTGAGCTGGGTGAGAGGCGCGGCCACCTGGCTGTAGTTCCGAATGAAGCGGCGATAAAAGTTCGCAAACCCCAGGAAGCTCTGAAGCTTCTTCCGTGACTCCGGAACCGGCCATTCCAACACTGCCTTAACCTTCACCGGGTCGGTTTTCACCTGCCCACCCGCTAGGATGTAGCCCAAGAAGGAAATGGATGAAACGTGGAACTCACATTTCTCCGCCTTGACGTACAACCTGTTCTCGAGCAGCCGTTGTAGCACACTCCTCACATGGATGTGATGTTCCTCGGGCGTCTTGGAAAAGACCAGAATATCATCCAGGTATACAAAAACAAACACGTTCAGGAAATCCCGTAACACGTCGTTGACTAGGGCTTGAAAAACCGCCGGGGCGTTAGCCAACCCAAACGGCATCACCAGATATTCGAAATGCCCTAGTGGGGTATTGAAGGCGGTCTTCCACTCGTCACCCTCACGTATCCGAACCAGGTGATAGGCGTTCCGCAGGTCCAGCTTGGTGAAGACTGTGGCTTCCTGGAGTGAGTCAAAAACAGAATTAATTACTGGGAGGGGATATTTATTCTTGACGGTGATGTTGTTTAGACCCCGGTAATCGATGCACGGGCGAAGCGTCCCGTCCTTCTTTCCCACAAAGAAAAAACCCGCAGCAATGGGGGAGGATGACGGCCTGATTCGTCCTGCTGTTAGCGACTCCTGGATGTAATTCTCCATGGTTTCTCTTTCGGGGCGAGACAGGTTGTACAGTCTGCTAGAGGGTAGCGAAGCTCCCGGGAGTAGATCAATGGCACAGTCATACGGACGGTGAGGTGGTAGTGAGAGCGCCTCGTCTTTACTGAACACCTGCCGAAGATCGTGATATTCGGGAGGCACGGAAGAGAGGTCTAGTGCGGGTGGCGGGACAGGGCTCCGTTCCGTTGAGGCGGGGGGAACGGCTGACCCCAAGCAGTTTGCCAGACAAAATACACTCCAGCTCGCGATTCTCTTTCCGGCCCAATCGATGTGTGGGTTATGTCTCTGTAGCCAGGGGTAACCTAAGATAAGCGGGGTGTCAGGAGCGGGAAAAGTGAAAAAGGACAGCTGCTCCTGGTGATTTCCTGATGCGACTAACTGTACTGGCGCGGTTTGGTGAGTGATATATGCAAACACTTGATTATTCAATGTAGACGCAGGGATGGGCGGTTCGAGTGGAGTAAGAGACACCGCTAACCTCTTAGCCAGTCTCTCATCCATGAGGTTCTGTTCCGCCCTGGAGTCCACCAGCGCGGGGCATGTAAAAGTCTGGTTATTAGTCACGATGGTAACGGACAGTAACAATCGGGGTCTAGTAGTGCTTAAAGTGCTACCCACCCGTATCCCCGGACTTACCGGTGGGCCGGGTTGTTTGGGCGGACCGGGCAAACAGCGATGCGGTGACCGGGCCTCCCAAAGTACAGGCAATCCCCAGCCCAGAATCGGCGTTCCCTCTCCTCCGGAGAAAGCCGAGAGCGTCCGATCTGCATGGGTTCGGGCGGGGGAGGCGACGGAGAGCGCACACACGCAGCTGTGGGCGGGGACGGAGAAACACGGATCCCGGGGCGCAATACGGAGCCCATAGGCTTAAGCCGCCGCTCGGCATCCCTCTCCCGCAGGCGTCTATCGATCCTACGGGCGAGGGAAGCCAATTCCTCGAAGGATTTAGATTCCTCGTGAAACGCTAGTTGGTCTTTCATCTGGTCGGTTAATGACCGTAAAAAAAACCCACGGAGGGCCGAATCGGGCCAACCCACGGCGACCGCTCTGGTACGAAACTCGACTAGGTACTCCGCAATACTGCGCCGCCCCTGACGGAGCCCCAGCAACTTCTGCGTGGCATCGTCCTCCGAGACCGGAGGGGAGAACGTAGCCTGGAACTCCTCCAGGAAATCATCGTAATCACAATCACGAATGGGGTGAGAGGTTAAGTAAGCCTCAGCCCATGCTAAAGCACGTCCCCGTAACAATCCCACGAAGTGGGAGATTTTAGCAGCATCCGTGGGGAAGGCGTGTGGTGTGTGGCTGAAGAACAAGGAGCATTGAAAAAGGAACCCCCCACACAGGTCTAACTCCCCGTGGAAGGGCTCCAGCGGCGGAGGTGAAACGCTGCGGTGCACGGGGTCGGGCGGCTTAGTTCGCAGCTGATCCTGAGTGTCACTGAGCTCTTGGTAACGGTCTTGGAGTGATAGGAGCTGCCGATCGTGGCGACCGAGGATAGCGCCCTGTTTATTAATGGCGGAGCGGAGTGGATCTGCTGGGTCCATACGGGCCAGTCCGTACTGTCATGAACCGAAGTTCCGCGCACAAGCTGGACCCAGAAGCAGAACACACACACCGGGGTATGAGAGAATAGAAATAAATTTTATTATAACTGAAGGTGTCCCGGGAGGGTAGCAGGGAAAAAACGCGTGGAACCAGAGAAACCGAAGGACCGGGAGGTGAGACGCGCAGGAACGCCGAGAGCGGGTCTGTGGGAGGCTGCGAAAAAAAAGAGAAAAAGATTATTGGGGTGCGGGAAAATGGCAGCATACGAGGGAAGGTGGAGTATGCGTCTTACGGTGATAGCGGGGCCGAGGGAACCGGAGGGAGGGGTGAGGGTCCGTGGGGGGAGGGGGAGCTCCAGAAGGGTCGAGGCGGCGAGTGCTGATCGTGATCCAAATCTCAGACGGGCAGGTGGACAGGCAGGTGGCTCAAAACACGCCGAGTTGTGATCTGAGTACACAGGGCAGAGTCGGGTTAGTTCAGACGGATAAGTTTTCATAAGAGCTTTCCCGCAGGTGTACGTTACCGCTGAGAGACAACTACGGACTGGCGTGGAGCAGCAGGTAGGGCAGGATTAAATAGTCCACCTGGTGATCGCCTGGGATGGGATGCAGGTGTGGGGTTGGCGGCCACGCCCACGGGCGTGGGCATCCCATCAGCACCCCGGACGCCGGGCCGCGGACCATGACACAATCTAGTCATACTGATCACAAGAGTTCAAAAATAAGTTAAAATAGTGAGCTGTTGTTAAGCATAAAGCATTTCAGGGTAACAAATAACTGTACAATATAATTAAAGCAAAAAATAAACACACTGGAGGACTATCTGATAAAAACTAATATAATGCTGGTTTGTAGACCATATTTTGTCTCAATCCTCAGTGCACTCTTGCAGCTTAGCATGAAACAGTAGATAACAACTTAAGTGATTACATAGGGGTAAACAGATGACAACAAGCATCGGAGTCCTGCCAAAAAGTTATTTTTGAACCCCGTCAGTTATTGGAAATATTGCCAAAATGAACTTCCACCAAAATACAACAGCCTGTGAACTTGAAATAAATTTACAAGTACAGAGACAATATGAAATAAGCTTCATTAATTAGCTGAGTTAGCTTGCTAATATCGCAACAGTGGTTGAGTGCACAACCTTAAAGCTAGCAGCACAATACTTGTGATTTGGTCAGTGCCACATTAAACCCATAAAAAAGGCCATATGTCAGTTTATTAGGTCAAGTTTGGTCATGACACAAAAGCTGGACCTTGTCGGCTAAAGTTACATTAGCTAAAGCAAACATTTCGGTAAAAGAGAAAACCCATGTCATGCCATAAATTCAAAACATGTTCCAACTTTTGTAGCTCTCTTTCCTTATAGTTATAACCAATGTTACTCAGCTTGAAAGCACATTCCAATGAAGACGATTAGAAAACATCCAAGTAAAGTGAGCATGTCGTTAACCGCCAATTCCCCATGATGCACCTTGATAGCAGTCACATGGGGCAGTTTTGAATCCTGCTGTGCTCAACTTCCCCACATTGTCCAGTTCACATAAGTTGCTGATTTAGCTGGACATGAGTTTTCAAGTTAGCTTTTTTTGGTGTAATTGGGACGTTTTTAACTTGTAATTCTATGTTATAACAACAACTTCAGTCATCTATCGTCAAACTGATATAGAATAATATGTTGAAATAACAAACATCTAGAATTACATTTTACAGTGTAGGGGCCACCGTAAATATAAATTTATTTATTCACTCCACATAAAATGTAATAAATAAATCATATAATATAAAAACCAACTATTCACATTTCAACTTTTAAGTATTTAAATTTTCAGCTGTTTCCTTTTAAACAAATTTTAAGTGAAACAACACAAAACACTACAAACCACAACACAATTAAATATAAATTATAATATGAAAACAAAAAGAACATGCATGTTCTCTGTCATATGGGCCTGCATGAATAAACTTTCTATATCCTTTATCATCCGCAACTGAAAATAGTTGTGGATGATTACTATACCTTTCTAATGTGACGTTGTTGTCCCTGACTCCCTTTCTCTGTCTCTCCCTCGCGCTGTTCCTGTGCTACTGCGAGTGTAACTACCGCCCCTCCTCCCTCTGCCCAGCGTAAAGCACAAGGCTCGCGTGCGGAGTGAAGCGGAAAAAAGTGCGAGAGAGAGAGAGGGTGAGAGGAAGAAAAAAAAAAAAACACGGCTCGCGTCGTTCACTTCAAAGATCCGGCTCTAACAGCCGTTTCGTTCGCGACAGACACATCACTAGTCTAAAGTAAAATGGGATGACAGCATTTCAGTCCTGTTTGGGGTGAGCTGAGTTTTTGGTTTTGTTTGAATTTTTTATGTGATTTTATTAAAAAAATTTTATTCTGGACCATTGACTCTATAATAAACATAATATTTTCAAGCTAAAAATTACAGTTTGACCAAACAAACACTGTATTTTACTGAAATATTATCACTGATCTTCAGAAAAAAAAAGCTTCAAACAAACAAATATTTTCACTGTGAGATTTTGAATCCTAACATCTGTGAGCTTTGTCTCTTTACTGCATGTTGTTTCCAGATGTTCATTCAGCAGCGTCTCTCACAGTGAGTCCTGACAGAGTGCAACACTTCACCTCTGACTCTGTCTCACTGACCTGTGAGGGAAACTTCACTGAGTGGAGAGTGAGGAAGTTCTCTGAGGACGGCCGACTCTCTGTCTGTAGGAGAATGACTGGATCCACATGTAACCTCAACACATCAAAGTCACATACTGGAGTGTACTGGTGTGAGTCTGGATCAGGAGAGTTCAGCAGTGCAGTCAACATCACTGTACAGAGTATGTTATTATACATTTACTTCTTGGATCTGAATGATTTAGATGTCACATGAACATTTGTCCCAGCTTTGCTGTATGTGAAGTAATTCTATGTAGAGAAAAAAAAACTGAGACAATTTTAGACAAAAAGGCATCAAAATATTCTTTGTTGTTGGTCTTATTTCACTCGATCTTTTCATAATCACGTTTGTCAAAATTTGCAGACAGTATGTTTTATTTTCTGTCAGAATAAAACTCAGAGCTCAACATCTCTGTCATCACATTAGATGAACTTTTGTTGTCTCCATTCAGAAAAATTTAGGCAAACACGTGATGCAAAATAACACAAATATACAAATGTTTACAATTTCACCTATAACCATTAAATGATGTCACTGTTAATAGTTTGACTCCTGCAGGGAAGATGAAGGGAGCATCCAACTATCCTTCCAGTCCTATAAAATGTAACATGATGCATTTATTTACTCCATGGACCCTCAGCCTTCTAAAAAATGCACATGATGACTACATGAATGATCCGCATGATGAACCCACTGTAACTGAACATCTAAACACTGAAATGTTGTTACTTATTCAAACTTCTCTCCTGTTACTGAAACCAGGCTGAGATCTCTGAAAGGAAAATCTCAGAAAATCTCTCTGAAGTCAGGTCTGCATGTAGATCATGAGACACGACTCACAGCTTTTTCTAAAAGTTTTGCATCAGCTGGTCTGACTAAAACAACATGTTTGTTTTTTTGTTTTCACAGATCATTATTATTATTATTATTATGGTCCTATCCTGGTGAGTCCTGTTCATCCTGTGACTGAGGGAGCTTCTGTTAGTCTGAGCTGCAGTGTGAAAAGACAAAAAATACTTTCCAATGTGTTTTTCTATCACAATGACAAACTTATTCAAAATGATACCCGAGGGGAGCTGAAGATCTCTGCAGTGTCAAAGTCTGATGAAGGTTTCTACAAGTGTCAGTACTTAGGAAGAGAGTCAGCACAGAGCTGGATGTCAGTTAAAGGTGAGCAGGATCAAAACATTTGATGGATTTTTCTAAATGAGTTTCATGCTTGAGAAGGAACATTAGATTGTCTGTTTAAAGGCTTGAAGTCACCTGGATCTATTTTGTAAGAACTTTTATAAAAGTATTATGTAATATCTCTATATTGTCAGGTTTAATATCGTTGTGATTCAGGACTCATGTGTGGGACTCAGGTGAAAACAGCAGAGGATGTAATCAGTGAAAGTTTTTTTATTCACTCAAAGGATAAATAATTTAACACAACAGATTGCAAACTTCGACTCGGTCAACAAGAACAAAACATAAATGAACCTAAACTTAAGGAGTGAGTCCTACAAAAATGTCTTAAATGAGGTGAGAGAGACAGGCCAGAGGAGCGGACATAACAGTGTGAGGGCGACAGATATGTGGGAGAGGAGAAAGCAGAGAGGAATTTCCCCACAGGGATCAATAAAGTATACATTATTAGGAACAGAAGATTTCAGTGGAAGTTCAGATCTCCTAGAGGTGGATCATTAAGGTTCAGCAGTATTAGGTTTCAACGGCAAGATCTGCACTCGGCTAATTAACCTGGCCTGTTGTGCAACACAAACACTGAAGTCTTATTCCAGCATTCCTAACAGCTCAGCTGGAAATCACATCCAAACTGCTCCCTGTAATGGCAGCGGTGAAGTTGACTGTGCGTATCAGTGTGGTCTAAAGACATCTGTGCACATCAGCAGGAAATGTCAGCTTCCACAGCAAAAGAATATAAAACAACCTTACTAGGTCTCATCTTAGCTATCAGAGGCTTCAACATCAGATTGAGTAAAGAACACAAGCACATAGCATGCTAACTGACACCAAAGAAATTCAAATTCAAATTTTATTTGTCACGTACACAGTCATACACAGTACGATATGCAGTGAAATGCTTAGACAACTGCTCGTGACCTAAAGAAAAAAGAAAAGGCTATGAATAAGATAGGAAATAAATATGAAAATTAAAAAGGGTAAATTTAACTAGGAAGGAATAAAATAACATATAAAAATTAAAGTTAAAAATGAAATAACTGTACAACACAAATTAGAATGAAGGGTCAATTTAACTGGGAAAGAATAAGATAAAATATATAAATTAAAGTTGAAAATAAAATAACTGTACAACAAAATACACAATACACAGTATAGAACTATATAAGAATGTATGAAGAAATATAAATATATATTTAATATACAATAATAGCAGCTGTACAAGTATTAACTGGAAATGAAGAATATAATGACCAGTGTTGTGCAATTCCACAGAAAACGAACTGTGACTCACCAAATTCCAATACACCAAAAACAAAAGTAAAAAACAACACCAATGAAATGATAACTGCTCACACTCTCAAATGTTCAAAATACAATCAGATCATATTAACCTGAGTTACTTCCTCATTATTGATCAATAAACTCAATCATGCTTCAAATTAATTATTTGAAATGTGCATGTATGTAATAAATGAAAATACACAAAAGTGTATTTTTCACATGTTTCCATCCAGATCTTTAAATTGTTCTGATTCAGTCATTTTTACTTTTATGTTCTTGTTCTAAACTGAACTGCAGCCAAACCAAAGGCTGAACTGAGAGCTGATAGGACAGCTGTTCCAGTAGGGGGCAGTGTGACCCTGACCTGCTCTGTGAACCCATCATCATCATATGGATGGAAATACTACTGGTACAGAGATGGGAAATCTTATCAACCTGTGACAAATGGACAAATCAGTGTCTCAGAGGGAGGACTCTACAGCTGCAGAGGAGGAAGAGGAGAACCAGTTTACTACACAGAGGACAGTCAGCCAGTTTGGATTGACACAACTGGTGCGTTCAAACTTGAACTTCCCACAAAGCACTACATCTGATGGTAATTGTACCTTTTGTCATTCATGTGTTTTTATTGTACTTTCTTGAACATTAACAGTGTCAATCAGGCCTGTTGTGACTCTGTATCCAAACTGGTCTGAGATATACAGAGGAGAGACGATCACTGTCAGATGTGAGATCCATGGAGGAGACACTGAGTGGGATTATGAGTGGGAAGCAAACAGCAGGATAAAACCTCCAAATCAAAATGAATACAGGATTATTTCTGCTTCATCATCCAACAGTGGAAACTATCGCTGTAAGGGCAGCATGAAAAGTTCACAGCATGAAACAACAGAGTGGAGTGATTCAGTCACACTGACAGTTTCTGACAGTAAGTCATGTTTGCTTTAAGCTGTTTGAACACTTTGTAAAATGTGTTTCTGTTCATATAGACTGAGATTATTATTCTTTGTATAAACTGAGCTCACTATTCAGAGACTGTACTACATGTTCACTGAGAGAAAATCTTTGTTGAACAGATGAACCCCGTCCTGTCCTCACTGTGTCTCCATCATGGCTGAGTCCTGGAGCCTCAGTAACTCTGAACTGTGAGGTTGAACATCCGTCTGCAGGATGGAGCTTCTACTGGTATAAAGCTGTTCCTGATCTATCAGAGAAATCCTACAGTTATGAGCTGCTACCTGATGGCAGTGGGACTGCACAGGACTCCTACATCATTCATGGACAGACACACACAGCAGGATATGTGTGCAGAGCTGGAAGAGGAGACCCAGAGTATCACACTGATCACAGTCAACCAAAGTTTGTCTGGTCTGCAGGTCAGTTTGTTTCTCTCTGTCCTTTCAATGAGCTCATGTTAGGTCATCATTTTTATTCACCAGCATTTAGACCATTAAAATCTCATCTCCATGACAACCATTTATGCCTGTGTACATTAAAACTCCTCAAAAGAAGAACTGAACTGAATGTTTTCCGTTCTCTCTGTGATCAAACCAAACTGAATTTCCTTGTTTCCTTTTCTTATTTCTCAGTTTTTATTTAATGAGATAACATGAAAAACAAAAGACATCTATGAGATTTTAAATGTTTTGATATTTAAACTCATGTTTCTGTTTGTACTGATTATTTTTACTTAGTGCACAGACAGGATTTACACAGTTAAGACTCTTTGTTTAGTGCTCAGGTAGGTGTTCAGATAAAAAAGTCAAATATAGTTAATAAAGAAACAAAGATGTCAGCAGGCAGGTTAACAGCTCTGACAAATACAAGACAAACACTGACTACAGATGGACGCTAGAAGAAGACGTCACAAATAACAGCTGCTGTTATTGTTCATTTAAAATATACTTCAAAGGTTTTTAGTTTTGGTCCTGCTGCTGCAAAATATCTCACTGTAGAAGGAATCTGTGAAACAGACAATATCACAGAATTATGACAGAAACATTACAGCAAATGACTGAAGTGTGTTCAGAGTGATCTGTATCAGGTGGATGATGCTGAGAGTGATGACTTAAAGCTCATGATGTCACATGACGTGTACCAAGCTCTACATGAGCTGCCAGCAGATAAAGCATGTGGGTTAGATCAGCGCTCCCCAACCCCCGGGCCTCGGACCGGTACCGGTCCGTGAGTCGTTTGGTACCGGGGTGATAGCATTTCAGTCCTGTTTGGGCTGAGCTGAGTTTTTGTAGGAAAATTGTTTGTATGTATTCTTTGATTCTTTTTTTGTTTAATATTTATTTTATCTGATTGTATTTGTTTTGTCTTTTAATTTTGGATAATTGAACAACTTTATTATAACTTTACAACTTTATTATAAAGAAAATAAAGTTGTCAAGCTAAAAATTATAGTTTGACCAAACAAACACTGCATCTTATTGAAATATTATCACTGATCTTCAAAACAAAAGCTTCAAACAAATATTTTCACTGTGATATTTTAATCCTAACATCTGTGAGTTTTGTCTCTTCACTGCATGTTGTTTCCAGATGTTCATTCAGCAGCGTCTCTCACAGTGAGTCCTGACAGAGTGCAACACTTCACCTCTGACTCTGTCTCACTGACCTGTGAGGGAAACTTCACTGAGTGGAGAGTGAGGAAGTTCTCTGAGGACGGCCGACTCTCTGTCTGTAGGAGAATGACTGGATCCACATGTAACCTCAACACATCAAAGTCACATACTGCAGTGTACTGGTGTGAGTCTGCATCAGGAGAGTTCAGCAGTGCAGTCAACATCACTGTACAGAGTATGTTATTATACATTTACTTCTTGGATCTGAATGATTTAGACGTCACATGAACATTTGTCTCAGCTTTGCTGTATGTGAAGTAATTATTTGTGGCAAAACAAACAAAAATGAGACAATTTTAGACAAAAAAGCATCAAAATATTCTTTGTTGTTGGTCTTATTTCACTCAATCTTTTCATAGTCACGTTTGTCAAAATTTGCAGAAAGTATTTTTTTTTCTGTCAGAATAAAACTCTAAAAAGCTCAACATCTCTGTCATCAGATTAGATGAACTTTTGTTGGCTCCATTCAGAACAATTTAGGGAAACACGTCATGTAGAATAAAACATACAAACACTTATTTACAATTTCACCTTTAACCATTCAATAATGTCACTGTCAGTAATTTGACTCCTGGAGGGAAGATGAAGGGAGCATCCCAACTATATTTCCAGTCCTCTTAATCAAATTTTGAATTTGGGATCTGAGCTTGACAGAAAGTTTGTAGTGATATCACGAATAGCAGATTCAACAATCGCCATATAAAATAGTAATATGATGCATTTATTTACTCCATGGACCCTCAGCCTTCGAAAAATGCAAATGGTGACTACACGAATGATCCACATGATGAACCTTAAATGTTGTCACTTGTTCAAACTTCTATCCAGTCATTAAAACCAGGCTAAGATCTCCAAAAGGAAAAGTTTGTAAGAACTTTTATAAAACTATTATGTAATATATTGTCAGGTTTAATATCGGTGAGTTTCAGGACTCAAGTGTGGGACTCAGGTGAAAAAAGCAGAGGATGCAATCAGTGGAATTTTCTTTATTCACACAAAGGATAATTCATTTAACACAACAGATTGCAAACTTCGACTCAGTCAACAAGAACAAAACATAAATGAACCTAAACTTAATGAGTGAGTCCTACAAAAACATCTTAACTGAGGTGAGAGAGACAGGCCAGAGGAGCGGACATAACAGTGTGAGGGCGACAGATCTGTGGGAGAGGAGAGAACAGTTAGGGCAGGAAATCTGAGGGAATGTGACAAGACAGAGAGTGTTCATAAAGTGGCTGCAACTATGCCTTATTTGAGTCCAGACTAGGTGGGAGTAAAGGATAACGCAGAGGCCCAAGGAAACTGCTGAACGATGGACAGGCAGGCAAGTGAGGAAGAGGCTCCGAGGGGGCAGCAGTGGTGGTGAATAGGGGGGTAATGATCCAAGGTGGCAGGCGTCTGACTGGAGGTGAATGATGGCATGAAAATGAATCTTGAAGCAGGAAGAAACTGAAACAAGGGGAAAATCTGTTAGCATACAAACCTTATTTTCCTAGAAAGGATCCCAGCAGACCTGCCTGGTTACCTCACTGACGAGCTGCAGTCATGTTAACTATCCATTAACATTTGGCTTACAGCCACCGAGGTCTTCAAGGTCAACTTTATGACTAAAAAAAAATCCTTATGACACAGAAACTATGATTCTTACAAAGGTGTTGTCAACATATAGAAAGTAATGTATAAAGATTTAAAATATCATTTGTTTGACCTCTGACCTCACTTTTACATTTCTTATCGCCCTTTCTTGTCATGTTGAAAAAATCTGCCTTTGGACTTATTTTTGCTGAACTACAAACTTCTCACAGTACAAATAAAAAAAAAATACACTGAAAATACAATATTTTTTTTCTTTGAAAGTAAATGCTGTCAACAGAGTGAGCTGCCTTAGCAGAGATTTGTGCTCTCAGAGTTCTTCTTTTACACTTTTTTAATAATTAATTATTGTTTGTTATTACAGTAACTGGACGTAGTTCATCTCCTGTGTGGTTGATGGTTGGACTGGTTTGTGGAGTCTCTCTCATTATTATTCTCCTGCTCTTGTTGTATCGCTGCAGACAGTCCAAGTGTAAGAGCCTCTTCTTTTCATGCTGTATTAGAGAGTTTATTTACTACATACACTTTAATTATTCACACATATACATGTATTCTGATCTCATGACACTAAATATCAGTGGAACAATTTATACATGACAAACATGTGTAATAACATTTGTCTCTTTCACAGGTTCCTGCTTCACCAGGTTGGTAAAATACTTTTTATTATTATTTTAAACAAACATCAGTTACTTTTGAGTTTATTGTGTTTTTCCTGTTTTAGGTCGATCCAGTCTGAGAGTCACAGTCCGGGCTCCTCCACAAATCATGGAGTCAACCAGAATGAAACTCACGTGTACGACTCTCTTCAACATGGTCAGTATTTAAACTGATCTTGATTATCATTATTAATATTTACTTTTATTAAACCTCCATTAACACAAACATTTATCAGGTTCAGTTTGCATTCAGCAGTTTTTTAAATAACATTTAAAGATCTTACAGTCCTGGTTTTGACTCACACAGTGTTTCTGTTTTTGCTCTGATCTTTAGTGTAACTGTAATAAAATGATTAATGTGACCCTGGCTTCTGTTTTTCTTTAGGTACTGATGACATCTATGAATCAGTCACACAAGTGAAAAACAACAGAAATGGTACAGTATATGTGCTGGAAATCACAGAGCAGTTAGAGATGAAACTTGTTTTTGATTGAATGAAACTAATTTCATGTGATATGTTTTTACAAACCTGTAAATAAAATATGAACATTTCAGGATAGTTTTACAGAGTTTATTTACTACATTCACTTTAAATATTCAAACATTCATTCTGATCTGATGACACAAAATATCAGTGAAACAATTAAACATAATAATTGTAAATGAGAGAATCTGAACAGTCTGATGAAGAAGACCAGCTCTGTTCTGGGACGTCCTCATGACCCAGTGGAGGTAGTCAGTGACAGGATGGTGGCTCAGCTGTCACCCCTGTTTCTGATAACACCTCCCACCCCACGCAGGTCACTCTGACAGCACTGAGCAGCTCCTGCAGTGACAGGCTGCTGCACCCACAGTGTGAAGGAGAGATTTAAGAGATCTTTCCTTCCAGCTGCTGTCAGACTCTACAACATACATCATCATGTGAAAGCACACATGCACACACTGGTGTCTGTAAATATCTCAATGTGCAATACTCTATACCTGCTGCTACTAACATCCATCGACTGCACGATGAAATGCTGCCATTTGCAGCTGGTACAACAGAATTGAAATTCTCTACTTTTTGTGGTGTGCATTATTATTCATACTTTGTGATATATTATATTATTTAGTTTAGTCAGTTACTGTTCTTACTGTCTTTGAGCCACTGTGACCGCTTCGTTTCCTCTGAGATTAATAAAGTATTCTTATCTTATCTTACAGATTCATGCTTCACCAGGTTGGTAAAATACTTTTTATTATTATTTTAAACAAACATCAGTTGCTTTTGAATTTATTGTTGTCACGTCTGCCGTGGCAGATGAGTGGAGGCTGAGAATTAGGACCTAAGATGCAGGCAGCTGAGATGCAAATGAGTTTTATTCATAAAGAGGTGAAACAAACAGAAACAGCAAAGGCAAAATGATGATGCAGGGAGACACGGGGGACGACACAGAATGATGCAGGGAAAGAACACAGACGAACCAGCAACAAGCACACGTGGACACACACTATAAATACACACAGAGGAAAACGTGGAATAGCAAACAGGAGGAAGACACAGCTGAACCAAATTGAACTGATGAGACAGGGGAAAACATAATCTGAACACACTAACAGAAGACATGGATCTTCACAATAAAACAGGAAATGCACAGAGACACGGTACAGACACTAAACAGAGGAAACACAGAAACCAAACTCTAGGAACTAAAAAGTCTAAACCCCAGTACACAAACAGAACAAACACAAGATCATAATAATGAAAAACACAAACCGTTGGGTCAAAAGACCGAGGACCATGACAGTTATGTTTATTTCCTCTTTTAGGTCGATCCAGTCTGAGAGTCACAGTCCGGGCTCCTCCACAAATCATGGAGTCAACCAGAATGAAACTCATGTGTACGGCTCTCTTCAACATGGTCAGTATTTAAACCATCTTTATTATCATTATTTATATTGACTTTTAGTGGGCATAGGCTAATTGATCAATCTAAATTGCCCATAGGTGTGAATGTGGGAGTGAATGTGAGCACGAATGGTTGTCTGTCCCTGTGTGTGAGCCCTGCGACAGACTGGCGACCTGTCCAGGATGTAGCCTGCCTCTCGACCTATGACAGCTGGGATAGACTCCAGCGCCCCTGAAAAGGATAAGCAGAAGCGAATGGATGGATGGATGCTGACTTTTATTAAACCTCCATTAACACGAACATTTATCAGGTTCAGTTTGTGTTCAGCAGTTTTTTAAATAACATTTAAAGATCTTACAGTCCTGGTTTTGACTCACACAGTGTTTCTGTTTTTGCTCTGATCTTTAGTGTAACTGTAATAAAATGATTAATGTGAGCCTGGCTTGTTTTTTCTTTAGGTACTGCTGACCTCTATGAATCAGTCACACAAGTGAAAAACAGAAATGGTACAGTATATGTGCTGGAAAGCACAGAGCAGTTAGAGATGAAACTTGTTTTTGATTTATTGAGTCTAATTTCATGTGATATGTTTTAACAATCCTTTAAATAAAAAAATGAACATTTCAGGATCAGATGAATACGATGACATCACCTCCTCTCTTATTGAGTTTAAAGATCTTAGAACTGAGAGTGAGTACACCAAAGTTAATTTTATAAAAAGAAAACCTGGTTTGGAAAGATTTTTAATTAGTATGAAATTCATTTTGGGTGGACTTATTAATATAAGTTAGGTCTGGCGGCATTTTTCTCATGTTAGGAAACAGACATTTATTCAAATTTATTATTTTGTTTTTTTCACCTTTTTAAATCTATGTATTTAGTGAGATGGGAAAACAGTTAAACACCAAACAAATGAAGAATAAAAACATTTATTCATCATTCTTTGTAAGCTACACATTTGCTGTGCAAGCCAAAGTAATCTATTACTGGCATTATTAGCATGACAACACATTACAGTGATATCAAAGTGCCACTGCACTAAGAACCAATTATTTGTCTGAACCAAAGCTAAGTGGATAATAAAGCTGTATTTTACTCTGATCACTTCCTTCAACATTAAACTGGTCACTTGGATATTTCTGATCAAACTGAACAAAGCGTGAGCTTACATGAGCTTAAGTATTCATACCTGTTGAACTTCTACACATTTTGACACCTTTTTTAAATTGAGATTTTCTGTGATAGACCAACACAACGTAGCACATAATTGTGAAGTGGTATGAAAATGATACATGGTTTTAAAAAGTGTGGCGTGCATTTGTTTTCAGCCACCTGTACTCTGATATCCCTCATTAAAATCCAGTGCATTCATTTACTTTCAGAAGTCACCTATTTAGCTGCTCTGTGGAGGCCTCAGTGGTTTGTTAGAGAACATTAGTGAACAAACAGCATCATGAAGACCAAGGAACTCACCAGACAGGTCAGGGATAAAGTTGGAGATAAGTTTAAAGCAGGGTTAGGTAATAAAAAAATATCCCAAGCTTTGAACATCTCAAGGAGTATTGTTCAATCCATCATCCAAAAATGGAAAAAGCATGCTACAACTGCAAACCAGGGTGATCTCTAAAACCTTCAGGACACCAGCCGACCCCTGGTTTAGATCAAAGAATATTCTTGTGTTAGAATGGCTCAGTCAAAGTCCAGACCTAAATCCCACTGAGCATCTGTGGCAAGACTTGAAAAATTGCTGTTCACAGTCTGGCTGAGCTTGAGCCATTTTGCAACAAATAATTGGCAAACATTTCAGTCTGTAGATGTGCAAAGCTGGTAAAGACAAACCCCGAAAGACTTGCAGCTGTAAATGCAGCGAGCAGTGTCTCTACAAAGTATTGACGAAGGTGGGTTGAAAACAAATGCATGCCACACTTTTCAGAGTTTTATTTGCTTAAAATTTTGAAAACCATGTATCATTTTCATACCACTTCACAGTTCTGCACTATTTGTGTTGGTCTATCCCCGTAAAAACATTTAAGTTGGCGTTTGTAAGGTGACAAAATGTATAAACGTTCAAAGGGTATGATACTTTTTCAAGTCTCTGTCAGTTTGATTTAGTCGAGTAACAGCATCACCGTACAAAACACACCATTGTTTCAAGTATCCCAGGTGAGGTCTTAATGATTTTTTACTGATACAGAAGAAGATAGAGAAGTGCTTCAGCTTCACATGTTTTGCAAAAAAAAAAAATCATCTTTACAACACAGAACAAATTACAAATGATAAGTTATGTGTCTGAGGCCAGATGTTTACATGAAAGTAAAACCAGATGGTTTCCTCGTCCACACAGATACAGAGTCTGTCTCCGCCTTCTAAACAAATCCAATAAGGTACAGTAACATTACACACCTGCAAAGACTCAAACACAAAACAGAACTTCACTTTGCATCAAGGGGAGACAATGCTTTTATAATAAACCTTATTGTTCTCCAACACAGATGGGACAGACACAGGGGCAGCCAGTGACCCCTCACACACGTCCTTATGCTGATATCCAGGCAGGTTCTCAGTGTTTGTAGCTGCTGATTTATGCAGCAAACATTTCCACAGTCCTCTGCAGCAGATTATAGAAACACTTCTTCTCTCAGCTCACGACAGAAGATCTACAGCTGGGACACTGTTAAGTGGTTCTACGTGAAAAATAGTTAAATATTTACTCAAACATGTTCTTGTATGTAAAGCAGGTTCAAATGCATGAAATTACATTTGTCCTTTATAGTGGACGTTAAAAAACACCACAGGTATAAATGATAATTTACATCTTAGAGCCCTGCTCTCAAACACTGACTCAGATGTAACTGTCTGTGAAACTGGATTTAAGAAATAAGAACTTAAAGTTCACAAAACATGTCAAACAGACTCTCCTTCATGAAGTCCTCGCTCATAAAGTGCTTCACAGACCTGAACATTACAGCTAACAGCTGGATTTTCCTGTGTCAGTGCAGCTAACCAAACAGCGCAGAACCTCTTACTGCTAAAGAGACAGACGGTGAAAGCAGACAGTATGTCCTCCGTTTTAACATAAAACTCATTGTTGCAGCTGAGAGCAGCACAACAGTGACCCCATTAAACTGATGTTTAGTTTAAGTGTCCTTATTTTCACTGAGTTATTGGTTCTGCTATTAGTTACTTAACATAAACGACCGTGGCTCAGGGGGTTG